TAAGAGGTGAGAAATGATAAGTTCAAAAGTACTCTTAATCATATTATGAATTGGTTGGTCTCTTTCGCTCTTAAACTGAAGTACATTAGCTAAAACAGCCTAATTTCGCTAAAAGAGCGTTTTGTAAAGTGTTTAAAGATATTGTAAAAATTTTCAAAAATGTTGTTGAAATCGACCTCCTTAGGTGAGTGCTGAAATCATTGACTTTTCTTGCGATACAAGACATGATGCAATATTCTAAACTAGCAGTTTCTATTCTTCGAGAATTCTCATGGTAGAAGTCCAGTATCTGTTATCAAGCAAGATTTGTGGGGCTGAAGAAGCTATTTCTAAAAAAATTATATCAGACCGCATCAACCGAAAGGATTTTTAATTATTGACGTTCTCTTTTCCTCGAAGAATTCTTGTTCATGTTAATGCCCGTCCTAACTTCTGATCTTACAATGTCAAATTTCGTTCATTCACATCTGGGCCATAAGAGGTCGTCAGACAACTTCTTCTCTTGCTCAGCGACATCAAAACCAGCGACATTTCAGCAAGTTTTCTCGAGGATCAAGACAAATACTCCAGTTTTTTTTACATTATTGAATTACCACCATATCGACAAGCAAAAGAAAGATATGTTTGAAACTGATTCATCTCATCCATGATTGGGCCATGAGTATCAGAATGTCTTTGGTGTTTGGGCTCATTCGGACACGAAGACAATATCCTCACTTGAATTATGCTTCCCATGAATTTAATCACCTTCAAAATTTTCGGCTTCAGTACATCTTGCTGAAAAGTTATTTAGTTACTAAATCCATTGTTTAAAACCTATCAGACGAGCAGAGCTACCACACAAATATTGAAGTATTTACAGATTTATAAGGGTGTTGGCAATTGACGTAGTCACTGCAAAGTAAACGAAGACCCATGATCCGAGACTTAGTAAAGCACTGTTCTTTTTTGCCATCACAGCCGAGGTATTATCATTGACAGAACTGCCAAGAGGAACTCCTGCTGAGCTGGGGAACAGTACTGTTGGCGGAAGCGAGCTCGTGTGAGTTGTGACAAGATGTTGTGAACGGTTGAAGAGACCTGGAACCGAGTGCGAATGACGCACAACTGCTTTGTCGGCATGTTGCCCTTCCACTTTAGGAGTTTCTCGTGCATGCGTCGTCGCTGACTGGAAACGGGTTATGCTTGACCTCCAACTTATTTTAGATGAAGACGTGGCTTTCACAATCATCTCGCCCTTGGATAAAACGGTAGGCGTGATTTTGCTAGAGAAGCCCAGAGATGTTGAGGGAGATAAAGGCGAAGCGCTAACTTTGGCTGAATCACTGAAATTCGCTTTGGGAAGGGCTAAGTAACGCCTGCAGGTCACTGCTCTATTTCCGTATCCGGGACATTCGCATTCTTTCATGGTAACGTCAGCAATTGGATCACATTTCCCGCCAGAACTGCATTCACTCTGACAGTTGGCACCAGTCAAATTGCTATGAAGCAGTGCTAATGGCTTGGGACTGTGTCCAGGTGTAGTTTGAGTCACATGACCAATGCAACCCTGGAATCTGCGTAAATCAAAGTTGTCAACAGGCATAAAAGGTTTATAAACTGAACTACAACCTTAAACGTAATAAATATGACGTATTTTTCAGTACTTAATGATAATTTTTTCGCCTTGTAAACCACTTGGTAAAGTTTTAATACTCTCAAGTTATGCATTTTTCATAAGCATTTTGACATCTCATCTCATTTTTTTCTTGTAAAAGTTTTCTTTTCATTCTGCTATCTTGAATAGAAAGAAATATTTTCATGCGATTTGAAATAGATTGCGTCAGTAGGGTGTGTTAGATGTCTGCCTCATAGAATGATAGTAATAAAGAAACCATTTTTCTACTTACTCAATTAATTCGACGCCGCTTTGTGGATTTGCCAGATCAAGAGAAATGGTATGCAATGGAATATTACCCACGTAGAGAATTTTCCAGTCTTGTGAAACAGAAGCGGCAAATTGGCAGGGAGAAGATTCTGTTTTACATCCATCCACAGTTAGGGTGACTTCTTCATTCCCTCTTGTCAAGCGAACTCTATGCCAAAGAGAATCAGAGAAGTTTCCATCAACTATCAGTTGTCTTAGTCTGCAGGTGTTAAATCTTGCCCGCGCGCGGAGCTTTCCTTGGACAAGGAACAAATCGAAGTATTTGTAGTTGCCGTCACCTTGGTAAGCGAGAATGGCAGTGGGCTTGTTAGTTTTGAAAAGGAATGATAGCTCTCCAGGTATTCGCCATGCCTCAAATGCTGCATAAGAAGACTCTGTATTGTAGGAAAAGAAGGCACCTTCACTGGTGTTTTCCGAAGGAATTTCTCCCCTGATTTCTTGTGCGAAAAGACCGAAAAGTATTAGGGAGACACACGAGTACATCGTTCAGTTCTATAACGAAACACTGTCGCAGTTTTCGCAAAGCGCACGTGCTCAGCTTTGCTGCGTTCCTGCGCGTGAATGCCACGCTGTACGTTCAATAGTTGTAACCCAGAACTGCTGAAATGCAGCAGGACGATGTTTTTATCTTTTAAAGGATGTCATAAATCAAAGATATTCGCTTAAAGTGCGATAAGATCAGTGTAATTATTTAACATACGAACTCATTAACATTTTTGACTGAAAAACACGTGTACACATCATTGAAAGTTGCACCACACGGAAACGTGAAAAATGTATCAAAGACTTAAAATGGAAAGTGTCTGATTTAATTTCTTTCAATCCTTGGGACGATTTTAAAGTACTGAAGATTTGGTCCAGAAAATATGTCTCTACCTGAGTACAAACTGAGTATAGTTTTACAAATTGTGTTAATTCCAGTTTTTTAAATTCAGTTATACATATTTATGACTGTTCATTCACTGTGGTTTAGGACAAAAATTGTCCTAAAATATTCTGATATCAGTTCAAATTTCTGTCTCGTCTTAAAATTAAAAGTGGTCCTTTTTAATAATAGAATGCACTCCTTTGATGAAAACTTGAACTATTTTATATCACATTGGCTAAAAAATTAAAAGTCACTTGAACGCGATGGTGATGTACACGAATGAATAAAAATCGTAGATCGACAAAACGTACGCGCTTCGATTTTTTTATCAACGATTTTTCACGGTCATAGCCTCCTGTGTTGTTGGCTGAGCGCTCTGCAATAACACCACACCAGAATGTATTTTTGATTGTGATCAAGGAGTAAATATGTCATTAATTTAGCTAATGAAAACCCCCCTGAGTGGTTGCATGGTCATATGCATGCTTGTGGTTTTTACTTCTTGTTTAGTTTCTCATTATTTATCCAAAAAGTAGACACATAGGTATATGAAAAATAGTTCTTTTCAACTGATTTACTGCACATTAGAATCAAAAGAAACAGACTTAAATTTCATTGGTGGGTTGAGGGAGGAGAACTTTATGAATTTATTTGCCCTTGAGAAACAGCTGACCACTGGTTGGATTTTGGCTGGTGATTACTTGTCGAAGGGTTAAGGGTTATTCATTTTTGAGCACCTCTGTACAGCTAAAGGGGGCTTGTAGATCTAATCAATTCGCATTACAGCAAATTGTTCGACTGAGAACTGGCCTTATTGGGAATATCAATTAATGAACATAAATTTGATTTCATGGCTGATAGTTTTCGCAGAAACAGGCTCGTTTTGAGGTGTCACTAGAGCCACTGTGTATGGAATGATCATAACATATTCTTGCGGCCACGATCGGGGCTTACTGTGTGTCTTGTGTGAAGAAAGTTTCAGGTCGCAATGTCAGGTTGTCTCAATTGGACGGTTACCGGTATTTTGTTTTTATTAGTAAGTCTATGTTCCCCAAGTATTTTCTATCAGCTGTGGTCAGATATGGTTGCTTATGCGTCGCCACAGGTGCAGACATGGGTCTGACGATATGGAAGATCTTCAACTAAGAGAGAAAAGTGATTATTTTTGGAGTATCAAGGGGGTACATGAATGACTCTAGGTTCTCATTAGTTACATTCAGTTTGAAACTATCTCGCCGTCCTCTCCTCATCGTGGGATTTCAATGACTACGACCCGTAAGACAATACAACTCATCCCTCTCAGGGGTGTAGCGGGGATTTTACCAAGGGGACCCGATCCTAAATGTTCATCAACCACCACGGTGACGTATATAATTTTGACTCAGTTCTCCCTCCCCACGCCCCAAAAAGGGACAGGTTACCGTTTGTGCGGTTACTAATGGTATCGAATATTTGATTATTGATTGCCTATTATAACGTCCACTAACATGCGCGCTGTCCTTTTTTAATATTTCCTCAAGTTTCTACCTATGATCAAGTCTATGAGCATCAAATCACCACGTCATCGGAGTTTTCAGTTTGTCCAATCAGAGCAAAGCTTAAGCGCATTAGCAGAGAAAGTCTTATGCGGGATGTGTCATGTTTATTAGCAGCGGCTAACGCATTACCAGTTTTTAGCACTAGTTCACAAAAAAAACTTGCAGTGATGGAGATTTAAAACGAAAGCTGCAAAACGGACTTCTCGTTCTCTTAGCATCATAATGGTGGACTTATTGAAAACGGGATTGATTGGTGGTGCTTGGAAGCTCATTCGATAATTAACTTGTTACCAATTTCATGTTTGTACATTGTAAAATTTAATGCCTGATAAATTGTCAAAGTTCTCTAAATCTCGTCATGAATTCAATTTACAACCTGATAACATTCTTTAGCTTAATTATAAAAGCGAGCTTACAGCAAGCTGTTTCTCATAGCAAAAATAAATTGATTGCACCACATCGAAATTAAAGAACAATAGATTTCTAGCTTTGAGATTGAAACTTTTTGTATCGAAATGTTCACAACTCAGTTCATTTTACCAATCATTTTATGAAACTTTTGTACAAATAAATGCAAATCCGTAGAGGTCATGCTTCTCCACTTTGGAAAATTGTAACACGTTCTACCTTGTACTTTTATAGACACTACACGCAAGTAAGCCGTAAACATCACTTAACCTACCAACAACGTAGCCAACGGAATAAACGTCAGCCAATGGAAGGCTCACATCACGTATTGTACAGGCTTTCCTCGACGCAATAACCAGTCATACTCTTATTCAAGTTTTAAGCGGAAACTAGGAGAAATCTTTGATATTTAGCGTTTCCAGTGTAATGTCTACTGGTTCTCAACGATGTAAATCTGACTAGGACATTCTTTGAAACGTCGTAAGTGGTCGCCTGAATTACCAAATAAAGCTTGTCATAGCAAACCTCAATGGCGTTGATCCACATACCACGTAGCTTAGTCTAGTCCACTTACTTGGTTAGTTTATTTTGCCGTATTCTAATAAAAAGTACCGTAAAGCTGCACAGCAACTCGCTTAGTTAATTTACTCTCCACGGGCTAAAGGATCGCCATCTCCGCTTTATCTCTCACACGTATTCCTCGCGATTAAAGAGCTTTTTCAATTCAACGTCGACTGTAAAATCAAACAATCTTTCTTCCATGTCATTTGTGCTAATCTTATGCCTTGCTCTGTGATTGCCACTCAGAGCGTAAGACTTTTTCCTCAGGGAAAAAGCTTAAGAACTCTCTTACATCCTGTCATCGTGCACTGTGACCTGAATACGCGGATTGATGACGAAAGCGCCATGTTTTGGTGAGTTCATACAACTTGACGAAGAAGACTCGGGCTTAAATGATCCACTGTAACGAGAGTTCCAGCGATACAAGAAAAATAATGTCACTGAAATAGCAATGGCTGCTACAACCACTATCGCCGAGATCACCCAGAATGGCACTACTTGTGGAAGGGACTTCTGCACTGCGACGCCTGTCGGCACAGACTCGGGAACTAGCTCAGTGGTTGGCTGCATCGTTGTCGAGGTCAGTTCAGCTGCATAAGATAAAGGGAAAAAATGCTTCATTCTAGCTGAGTATTCACGTGAACTTAAAAACGCAAACTTAAAATTAAGCTTGCTCTTGAAGATAGCGTTGTGTCGCTGGAACTGGGATCACAAACAACAAGACAAATGGATATTGGACTATCACTAAAAAAAAAAAGTAGACATCGATAGATTGGGAAATAGAAATGGGATTGGGGAAAAATCTGGCCCGGGAAATGGTTGTCACGCCATTAACGCCCCCCCGCCCCACCACTCTCAGGACTGACCTTCACTTACGCTTTTTTTTTAACTTTATATTTGAACTATGGACTATGGACTATGGAGTATGGACACACCTTTGGACACATTCCCTTTGGAATTATCAGTTGTTGGGCATTCTTCATCTTCGTCATCACCGATTAGTAAACACCCCGACCCACTACTCTCTTCGGATGTTATGGATCCATCGATCACAGTTCCAATTTTAGCAAATCTTCTGTCTGTTATTGTGGGTACAATACTGTCAAATATCTTCTTTTTACCAAAGTAAAACTCTTGTAGGTATCCAGTATAGTTCTGTTTTGATTCAGACTTTTTGAGGACATTTCTGGGACCTCCAGCGACGTAGACAATTTTAGGTTTAAAAGGCATGGACGACACCTTCTCTTTAGCACTGATTTTATTATGGTCTATCTTAAGCGTGAAAACATCGAGCCGCCGATAGAACTCGACCCAGTGCCACCTGCCATCATTTACTTTACGCTCATCCACGAGAACCACGGGACCTAGAATAGATGAAGAAGAGAGGAATTTGAAGCTAAATGACATTGCAATGGACGAGAATATTTCACCCATGTGCGTTTTGACTGGGTGTCGTAAAATCAAAACATTCGTTTTCACATTGGCCAATCAGAACAAAGGAAATGTCACGGGAACCGGTTGAAAACTGAAACAAGCAAACTGTCTGAAGCGCGAGAAAAAGACGAGTAACCAGGATAAGATAAGTTCTTGTTTTGGATATGATTGGCTGAGGAAGTAGTGCATTAAAACAACTCACACTGCAAAGCAAGGAAACTGAACATATTTCCATCTTACTTTCCACCTTCAATTGAAAATTCATTTGTATGAGACCAAAAGAATAAGCAACCTTGCTTGTTATTTAGTTTGGTGGCCGTTCACAATTTGTGTCAATCTTCTTCATCCTTAACCTTTCCCATTCTTTTTTATGATAATCTTGCCACACTATTATTTCATGGTTACCTTCTTGTCCAAGGTATAACTTCACTTTTAGCTTTCCATCCACCATTTCGATCAAGAGGTAGTTAGGATGCGAAAGAAGAGTGAAGATTACACCATGGTCATAGGAGGTCTTCAAATGAAACCCGAAATCGTCTTCATTCGGATCAACATCTCCTGCTTCTTGTCTCGCACTAAATTCAACGTAACCACTTCCATTAAGCCGGATAGATGAAGTTTCTGGTAAAACAAAAGAATATTAATCAATTTAAAGGTCATAATTGTATTTTCTCAACGATTTCTATTTATTGCTAAAGCCAAGAATGTGTCTCCTTTAAATCACGAAAAAGAAGAAGTGTTTCGTTGGCGCCATAAACAGAAGATAGCCTCTTAAAGAAAAAACCACTGAGCGGTTAAGAGGAAGGGAGATTCAAACGTGTGTTACGCAACGATTGACCTCAGCCTTAGGAGAGAATTGATTTTGATCAATTTGGTGATGAGACAGCCGTGTGGTTTGTGGTTAACCATCTGCCTGAGAAAACGCCTCTTTTTATTCAAAAGAAAAATTCTCCCACACAGACTGATAACAGCTAATAAACAAATGTGGAGTAAAATCACTACAATATTCAAATGAAAAATTACTACGTTGATTTCTACAACCGTCGACAACTGAGTTTTTGACAAAGAGTCTTTGGCGGAGGTTGCAAACAATGTTTTATTGACTAGGAACTTAATGCTACGTAATGGGAAAAAGACGCGTGGAGTGAAGTAAAATGTTTTTGATACTTTTCTGAAATACGAGATCACACTGACTACATTTCGTCTTCTACTTTGTACATTTGGTGATCAGTACATGATGACAGTGTAGATATCTGAAATAATTTTTGCTCACGGTTTTACATTTTTTTAGGTAAAACAAATAAATTTAGTTTATATAAATTTTAGAAGAAATACTTCAATTTTACGAACAAGACGCCCATGGAAATTGTCATTGTTTTCTGCTACTTTCCTATAAAACAAATAATGTTTGAAAAGCTATCATCAAATATAGACCTGTTTACAGAGGTGGAAAGAGAAGGCTGTTGAACCAAATTTTACTTTTGAAGGGCAATTTGTAATGAAGGTATCACTCGAAAGGGATTAAATTTAAAACATCGAAAACTGAAAAAAAAAATCCTCAAAATGTGATATTCCCGTTTTCATTCCTACCTTCGCTGCAGTTAGTTCCTTCAAATCTTGTCCCTTTGCAGTCGCAACGTGCCCCAGTGGAAGTATAAAGACATACTGCACCGTTTTTACATTTTCCAGTCTTGGAGCAAGGGTCTGAACATCCTAGTTTTGTTCCTTTGGTGTGGTTCAGATACGCCTCTCTCGTAGGCCTTCCGTTGACACTATAGGTTATGCTGCTAATGCAGCCATTGAATCTGAAAAACAAATATATTACAAATGAAGCGTAAGAGATTCTTTTAGTACAACTGTGCGCCCGTCAGTTAATTTTATGCAATAATGAAATTCCGCAGAAAAACAATGTATTATTCATCATAGGAGCTGAATTTCGGATCCAATATTAAATTATTTATGGTATTTTTCTGCGGAATAAACTTATTAATTCTTTGCTAACGAATAAAATGATAAATTCTGCGTTAAAGTCGAAAAATACTGAAGTTTATTGAATTTAGTAAGCGCGAGCTTAAGGAATCGATAGAAATTCTTGGGCGGGGCGATTCACAATAACAAATTGCGAAAATTTTCCTTCGAAAAAGCATACGTAGAGAAAAGTTGTAATGATAATAATTGATTCCCTGAGTATGTTCGCAGTTATGGAATGTTTTGGTGCATCTGTTTTTTGCGTTAACCATCCCTTAATTCATAGCTTTCTTTATGAAGCTGCTCTCTTCATCCTTCAGTTTATAAAACGCTGCGACGGATCAAAATGGATCAGCTCACTTGTGTGGCGCATAATAAAAAATAACAGCAAAGAATAGTTGATTACATGGATTTTAAAGGAATGTGTAAAAGCATCCTTTGTTTACGAAAGAGAGAGAGAAAGCATGCTCTGTACTTACCCGTAATGATTGCTTTCGTAGAATATAGGAGGAAAAGAGAGATCATTCAACGGAGTAGACCACGGGATTCCACCAACGATCAAGTCACTTTTAACAATAAGATTCTTTACTTCTCCATTATAAATCGTGCTATTACTTAAATTGTCAACTGTAAGACTTGTTATTGCTGAGTCTCGCTGGACAGTCACTTTATGCCATCGTCCATCATTGAGTTTGTTTCCGATATGTAGAGTTTGTGTTTCCTCGCAGTTTCCCATTTTAAGGCGCAATCTAAGTTGCCCGTCTGCCATAGAAAGGTAAATATATTGGCATTGTCCTTTGTCGTCTTGATAAATGAGAAAACCGTTTTTGCTTTCCGTTTTGAAATGAAAAGTCAAGTTCCCTGTTCTTCTCGCGTTCCATCTTTTGAAAATAGCGTAGGCCGGTTCTTCTGAGAATCGAAGACCTATACTAGCCAGAGCGCTGGCAATGAAACTGAGCTGGAAAATCACCACTCCTCCAAGCATCTCACTTATGTCCCGCTCAAGACAAGATCCATATTAACTGTACAACGCAGAGAAGGAGGCGAAAATGCGTGGCTTCCACCGGAACTTGAAAAGAGATTAACGCTACACTACATGCCTGACCAGACGTGAGAGAAGCCAAGTTAACAAAACCGAAATTCCAAATTGGCAGTGCGTCACCGCGAGCCAGCATTGCTTATCATGTTTGTGATTGGCTGATAGAATGATCTTATCCACTTCTTTACTTATCTTCGCTTTGTTGCGGCGGGAGTTGTGTTCAGTGAGCCGCTGGTTGTAGAATCTATTGAATGAGTACCAGGCTTCTCAGTGACGTCACTTTACCATTGGCAAAATTTTTACGCACGCTTTAGTGCAAGTTTCATTTGGTGTGACATTCCTTACAAATTTCTTCTGTTTTTGCTTTCTTTCCCCCGCTCTGTTTTAAATGTGCTTTATCGTACTTTTACATGAATGTAAAAGTTTCGTGCCGATTTCTTTGTGTTGATTATCAGAACTAAACCAGTATCACTGTGAGTGAGATAAAATAAAAACTAAAACAGGCTGCTTTCGTAATGCTTTGCGAAGTAAACAAGAAGGTTTTGTGCAACAGCAAAATCATTCTATATTTCAGCTTGAAAGCTTGGTATGCAACAAGTTTTTCATGTTTAGATGAGACTGAATGTTTCTTATCCAAGAATTTAGTTCCAAAATTCCATTAACTGGTTGTAGATTACTAAAATTTTTATGATAGGTAAGAATTGAAAATCAACAGCGTCAAGGTTTCGCTCTTAAGCTTGACACCTGAGAGAATATATTAAATTCCAAGTATGTCAAACGCAAGAGATCATGAACCAATTCATAATGGACGTTTTATTTATCAAACAAAACTACACAGACATAAACAACGCAGCAAGTGTGAGTGAAAGAACAACCTGACTGATAAGAATTTTTCAAACCCTCTTAGCACTGGTCAACATTAACTTTTGCCCCCTCGAAAAAACTAAGTATCTATACATTATAAAATTAGTCAATATTTCATAGAAACGTATTTTCTCCTTTTGTGAATTGCACAAGCAAAAGCCCCTTTGATCTTTTAGATTAAATATTCTTAATTTACTCGCCGTTTTCCTCCAGAGTTGACACCGCCCCTTTAATTAACAAAATGCTGAAATTTCTTACCACAATGCTCTGCGATCATTCTGTCCTGCAAGTGAGGCTTAGAGCGCAAACATGGCGGAGGATACGCGGGTATAAAATTAAGCGTTTGCTCGCCATCTCATAGCAATTAGTGCTGTAACTGAACAATTTTTTTCTCTCTTCAGGTTATTTGCCTAAATCTCTGCATTGCCGTACCCTTGTTTTTTGTGGCATATTACATGGTAGCTTCGTTGCTAAGTGGAGCATTCAAGTAAGTGACTGTTTGTAAACAGCTGTGACTGTTGTAAATTAACACTTTCCCTCGCATTTCTCACGCTTTATTTATCGCTGTTGCCTTTGGACTGGACAACTGGTGTTTCTGTAAGATTTTGAATTAGTCCAGACTCCAAAAAATTACGATTTACTAGAACTGATTTCTCGTTGGCGTTCAATTAGGGTCTAGTTTTGACTGTTTACGTTCACCTCGGGTGTCGTCGCTATGTGAAGGTCACTTCTTACTTCCTCTTGAAAATAGTTTAAACGATTAATGAGTCAATCGACACAATTGTATGGAAAACATTTTTCTGTACCACAGAATTAGTGACTTCGATGGCAAGATGCCCTTTGATTTCCAGAACTGTTGCAATATTAAAGATGACAAAGATGTTGGTAAGTGGAGTAGTTTATTTTTTTCCTTTAAATTCCCAATTTTAAATTTTAAATTGCAAACACAGCAACAAGTTATCTTCATTTGTGTAATGGTATGAATATCCTGGGCAGTGCAGTTTCTAGTCTTCATTTTCTGCAGTATTTTGTAGAAAGGTTTGTCAAAATTTTCCCTTTTGAGTTAGAAATAAATTGTAATCTACCTTGTGTCTTTGTTCTTCAGGCTCCAGTTGTTCAAAGGTTGGATAGGGCTACCCACTGGATAAAACTCTATCTGGTGGATAATGCTATATTTTTTGCAATCACTTATCTGCTGGATAGTGATTTATCCGTTTGATAGCATTATCCACCCTTATACAACTGGGCCCAGGTGTTTAAAGCTTACATTTGATCTTTTGTCTTTCCAGCAACTCTGCTCTCTTTGTTACTGACATACACCCTCACTGCATTAATCTTTATCATCTTCTTGAGAAAGAGAATTTGGGATTATGCCATTACAATAGGATTTGTTCATCTTATTTTGTCCTGTGCTGGTAAGAATTGTATCTATAAAGAGGGTTTAGACACTGATGAGAGTGATTTCATAGAAAACGAATGTATGCATTTGATTAAGATTGAAAAATAAATTAAAATTTTGCATAAGGCAAAGCTGAGAAGGGCATGAAGAATTTGGATCTTATTTATGACCCAACCAGTACATTTATTGGTCGGTCAATAGCAAAAGAGAAGTCCTAAACATTTGAAAATCCAAAGGTATTGCTTTCCATTGAATTTAGATATCATAATGGTTTTAAAAAAAAAAACAACAACAAAACAGTGACAATGGTAAAGATTTGAATTTTTTTTTTGTCCCAACAGTCAGTAATGAAATTGATACAATCTTTCAAAGAAAGTGTTGTATGCTAGATATGCATACTAGATATATCAAGCTATTGTGAAGTTCAATTAACTATTCAAATCTCATAACATATCAGGAAGGGAAAGGTCATGGATTATACTTCTAGCCATGAACACACTTTAATGCAATTCAGAATCTCATACAATTCATGAGGCTTGATTTCTAAAATTTAGGAAATTAAATTGAATATGCAAATAACATTTGTAAATGTATCGAATGAACCATGATTTAGTTGGACAGTTAGATATACATTTTCTTTGTTAAGATGATTATTATTGATTTCAGTCATGCAGGCTTTCCCGACAAATTGGGAATGGTGGATTGCCTTTTGTAAGTTTGAAATAATAACTGAGGCATTTTATACTTCATAGGTTTTTTAGTTAACATGGTACAGGGATTGTGACAAAAATAAAGGGAATTGTGGAGTTATTAATGTATTACAAGAAATTATTGATGGGTAGCTGGTTTCTCAAAAGAGGTTGATTGACCACAAGATAAATCTAATGATTGAAAAACTTTTCCTCTTTAAAACTACTGTGTTAACTGCAAGCATGAGTATTCATAGAGAAAGATGTTTTCATCTTGTCATGAGTATGAGGCAAAGAAAACAATATGAGTTCCCATGATAAATTAAACCTCAGACTTTACCACTGGGTCACAGAGGTTAAAGAGGTTCATATGTGATAACTGTTCAGCAGACTATCAGGATCAACAATGTTGAAAGCACCAGTTGTGTAAATAGAATTAAAGATGGTAGAATTCGGCTAATGCTAATTAGCAGTTACTTAAAAAACCAAAAATTATAGAATGGAAAGTAAATGATATTGAGTAACTTATAATTATTACACAGCAAGTTCATACATTATAAGATGTTTAATGTAACCCTTATGTGTATTGCAGTGTCTTCTGTGCTGTTCATGGCTTTATTTGGTGAAGTAGCTGTCAGATGTTTCCTGAAAAAGAAAACACAGTCAGCAAGTATCAGTCCTCAAGAAAATGTGATCACATAATAGTCCTGTAAACTGTTAAATGTTTAAAGATAATTTATTGTAGAATTAAATAACATACCTTGACAAGGCAGTGAATATTTTTATAGGAAGCTGAAAAGTGCTACATTTTATAACAACGAAGAAGTAGCTATTTGTATATAGGACCACTTTTGACAAGCTTTTAATGAGAGGAACTATGTTTACTTTATGGCTTAACTTAACTTACAATCAGTAATAACAAGGTGACATGGCTTAGTTGTATTTTAGTTGTCACTGACCTCTATTGTACTACTGCTGAGTGATTTCATTGTTCAGAGAACTGTTGTTTACAGAAAATTTGTTTTGTTACATAAAGATAATAGATTAGGAACAGGGCATTAGGTTGAGATTGAAAACTATTGCAAAGAAGCTTCGTGAACCATTTGCAAGGGAAATCTTGTGTCAGAAAATATCAGTACTTCTCACACAAAGAGTTTTGGTTTCAGCCCTTCTTATAAAGGTTGCCTCAAGAGTACCAGTAGCTTCTGTGGTTCATTACACCATATGCCTCTCATGTTTTTTGTTGCAAGAAGTGACTAGTGGTTATGACAATTAGTTTCAAGGTATAAGATAAAGGGATTTGTGTGGTTCCTCTTTTTTATCCTTACTTGTGTTCCTTACATATTTGATGTACAGAAATTGTCTTAGTAGGATAAGGGTAGTCGAGATCTCTTAGATTTTGTTGATCTGGAAACTTAAACCAGAATGTTAGCTGAAAAAGGTAGCAAGCAATATTAATTGTTTGTTGTTTTCCTTCATCAACAAAATGTGAGAGGAACAGATTTTAGTTGCATACAGCAACCAGTATGTAGATGCTGAGGTTGTAGGAAAGGTTTTATTGTAATATTTAAGTTCTTTGAAAAAGTATATTTTGTTTTAAATCCAGGAAAAGGTAAAGATAAGATTAAAACCAGGCAATTCAAGAGAGTACCTTTATCAGGCAAATTGATTATCAGCAAGTGATTTTTATTATCAGTACTAATTATGTACAATAAAATGATCTCAGACATGAATAATTAAATAATAATAATAATAATAATAATTAAAATAAAGGTCATAGGAGAAACAAGTTTATTATTAATGGTATTGTCATACTTCTTAAGTAAGTCTAAAAGGACACTGATGAAAAAAGGTTGTTTTGAAAAAAAAAATAAAAATTTTACAAAGTGTAGCTTCCATTGACATTTCATTGTTTGATAAGCAAAAAGTTTATTCCATTCTTTTATTAAAATTTCATCTGTAAGTTGACTTTTTACCAAGTACTTTCACAAAATCATACCATATTTGTTTCACTGAACAGCTTAATCTGAGAAATTACTCTTCACATATAGTTCAGTCAACTAGTTGTGTTTCGAGCCTCCTTCCACTTGCTGGTGGTGTGTAGGTATTAGCCATGTGAGGTGATGTCACAGGCACAGGGGAACCAGCACTTTGCATAGCAGTATCAAAGGGAGCATTCTCCACAACAGGAGTGTGAGATGAATTCTTAATGGTACGAAACGTTGTTCCTGTGTTCATCATGCTGTGGGGAACTTCCTTCATCTTTTGTCGCACTTCCATGCTTCTGCTCTCTAAAGCAAGTGAGTTGTTCTTGACTGCTAGATCCTCATTGATCCTTTCCAAGTTACTGCGCAGGGCCTGAAGTGCATTCTCTGCTTCACGGAGTTTCTCGTTCAGTGATCTGATTGATCCACCAATTTCAGCAACTTCATGGCATAACTGGTACTGAGGTTGATCGCGACACAGCTCAACATTTGGCCTGTAGGTTCTGTTCTCTAGGCGTGTTTGTGCAACCTGGAAATACAAATAAAATCAACTTATTGTCAAAGAATAATTATAATCAATCTAGTGTAAACATTGCACCTACTAGATAACTTATCATACTGAAACCAACTTTAACATTTGAATTTCAACTGGAAATGCAGCCACCAACAGATTGCCATAAGTACTTGGATTTTGAATTTAAAAAAGTGTGACTTTTGACTATGATCATGATTACCAAGGGAAAATGGATGTGATTAAATTGTTAAGAAATGAATTACCAACATTGAGTCATTGGGCTCTAATAGGGCCACATAGATACTGAAAGTGATGAAATTTTAAAGAAAGATTCAGTAACAAAAAAAAAAAGAAAGAAATAGGGACTAGTGACCTACCATCATTGGTGCATTCTTGGCATCAATTGCCTCCTTGATTCCTTTGATGTCATTTTCCAATGTGGAAATTTCTTGTTGGGTCTAAGGAAGAAAAGTAATATTTAACATATTTAGTTTGTTCTACACGTTAAGGCAAGTAGTACAGAAATAGTAAAATTTAATTGACTCTATGGTTGTTTTCAATTAGTCCATTTCATTTGGAACTACCTGTACACAAAATTAACATACTCATAACACTTAGATCTGTATTTTTTTTTCCAGACATGATGCATTAATTAGTTAATAGTGACTTTAAAAATTACATTTTTCTGTTGCCACTCCAACTCTGACTTGGCCTGATTAGTTTCATGAATCCTCTTGCGAAATGCATATTCAGTGGCCTGTCTCTGAGCCTCAAGATCATTAGCTGTCTGCTGCAAGGTGGCAAAAATTGCTTCTCTGAGGTGCTTTGATGCCTTCATCTCAGCCTCTGCTCGCAGTTTGTTGTAGTTTGAGAAGGAGTCCCAAGTCTCAGGTGTAACACTTCCCTTGACAGTGCGTGTGGGATTCACTTGAAAGCCAATGTTGGCAGAGTTGTTGTTTAGCCTCCAACATTCACCATCCAGCTCCAGGGTGGTGTACTTGTCTGTGATGTCAAGATGCAGTTGATGACGAGCTTCTTGGAGGAGACTATAAAATATGGGGAAAAAATAAAAATTTATCATAAATCATCTATCATCCCCAAAGTATTAAGCTATTTGTGGGCTTTTTCAAATTTACTAGACCTCTGTCTCTCTTTTTCAAGATGTTCTCAAGATAAGGATTTATAATAATAAAACAACTTCAGGCTAAGGAGACTCTAGAGTAACCTTCCCCTCCCTAGCTGAATGATTCTACCTTCAATCTTGAACTTTGTTTCAATTTTGTACCATTGATTCAGGAGTGATACTGGACATTACAAAGACAAGTTGATAGATATATACAAGAAAATAACCATCAAAACTTACCAGAGTTGTTCAAAAGCTTCACTGACTTTCTGTTGAAGAAGAGCTTTTGCTCCCTCAATCACTTCTACCTCCTGAGAAAGAAAAAGAAAGCCAAAAGTTATCCTATCAACAATGAATAATGTTTAGAATTTAAGTATTGAAGTATGTGATGAGAAGTTACATGTAACATCATCAGAATTTTAAATACCATGAGCAAAACTTGGGAACCTATTTTCTATATGTTTCCTCAGTTATCAAAGTTTTTCTGTTTAATAAAAATCTAAAGGATGTGAGACGTTTTAAATTTTGAGAGGTTTTACCAGTATTAGAAGATCATTGAAATTTTTATTGTTTACTTCTAAGTTAACATTCAATGTGATCGAAAAATTAGGAGTTTCAAGTCTTTCGCTAACAATTTGGTTAAAAAATATAATTTGGTCATTACCTTATGAAGCTGTGCTTCAACTTCGTCTCGTACAAGATCAATGTTTTGTCTGTTTTCTCTCAACATCAAACATTCTAGGGTGATGTCGAGGGGAACTTTCTTTGCTTCCAGTGCCCGTTCTGTTCGTTCTTTTTCTTGTTGTAATAAAGCAATCTCGGCGTCTGTTTCGGCCAGGCATCTCTCTAAACTCTTCTTCCAGTTATTGATGTCGTGTATTCTCTTTTCAAGTTTTGTGTTGCTGTCGTGTTGAGTCCATCGAGTATGATTGTCGGTCTCGTTTCGCAGAAATCGACTCTCTTGACGAACGCGATGCGAAGCATCTCGCTGGCGCTCAGCATTTGTTCGTATTATTGTGTTTGATGTGTGCCAATCCGACACTGCAAAGCGTGGAGGAATTTTAGGGTCCGTCAAAGCCATTTATCCGGTTTTTGCAAAAAAATTTCTGCAAATTGTTTCCGCGGAGAAGAAGAGAAATGAATGAGTTTACACAGTAACCATAGCATTTTTACAGCTGGCGTTTTATGTTTCTATAGCAACTACAACCGAGAGGAGACTGGGTTTAGCTAGACCCAGGTCCTTGGAGGTCTATTCGCAAATATATTCGCCTGGCTATTTTTGTAAAGCGAACTAAATCTCTCACCATGGTTTTGTACTTTCAAAGCAACGGTGAGTGAAACACTGAAAAGATAGAAATTCTTTGCTACTCAAGGCCAAACTTAATTAATTTATTTTTCTTTCCTTAGTTGTCTCACCGCCGTACACCATTTACATGGGCGCAGATAAACACGAAAGTGAGTGTGGTCGTGTGCCACAAACACTCTAACATAATATGATTGAATCTTTTTTATCGGTAAACGTTTAAACTCCCAAGATCTAAGAGAAATTCTCCCTTATAGCTGCTCTATATTTTCTCTCAACTCATTCAAGAAAATTCGAATTCTCTACACTCCTCCAGCAAGGGTTTCTCACGAGATAGCATAGTCCTCTAGAGCTTATGACTATTAATTTTCTCATTACCTGTTTTCCAAATGTTGTTCTGATTTCGTAAGGAGAATTCAAATGTAAAGCATGTCTGGTATTTTAAAAGCTAAGTCCCATATACGTATAGTATTTTAACTAAGTTGTAATTTAATTTATGGAGTGTGTTTTAATCATTGCACAGACGAGGAGTTGATAAAATGGGGATTTCCAGAGGATGTTTGGTTAGTATAAAAATATCTAGCTAATCTTAAATTGCATATGTACATTTTAAACCATATTAAGGGAGATTGTTGGTCACAGACACAGAAATTCAACCTTTACTTACAATGAGTTTCTTGATGAAAGATGACTGTACTGATTTACATGCATGTATTGCCTTTTTCAGGTTTCATGTTGATAAGTTATCATCAGCCCATGTATATCTTAGATTACAAAAGGTAAAATCAAGGTTGCTTTTGATCTCTTGATTAAGAAAGCTATTTGTCCCTTGTAATTTTTGAAGCTCAATGTATCCTTACAAATTAGAAATGTAAGGAAAACCTTATATTTTTCTTTTTTGGTTAGGGTGAAACTCTAGATGACATTCCTATGACAGTTTTAACCGACTGTGCACAGCTTGTAAAAGCCAACAGTATTCAAGGTACATATATGACTGTTAATTTGACAGGACTAACTTATTCATTATGTGGGATGCAATTATCTTTGTCCCCAGGTTGGCATTATTGTGTGGTGTTCTTGTGCAGGACATTTTACTCTTGGACTAGGAATTGGTACTAGTAAACTGTCAGTGCTAGTATTAGAGAATAATGTACATGAAATTCCTTATATACTTTTAGAGTGATCTTAATGCTGCTATAATTTGAAATTGTTGTCAATTTAAGCAAAACTATTTGCCTGATTTTGCATGCCAACCTGGATGATCTTTAGGAAACTTTTATTGATTAAGTGTTAATTTGAACTTGAAAGAGATTCATTAAGACACTGAAACATTGTCATTTATGGTGGAAATATTTTCTTTGTTGTGTTTTAGCCATTGATCCCTTCTTGAGAAGTGCTTCAATTTCTATCAAATTGTTTTTTTCTGCAGGAAACAAGATGAACAATATTGCTGTTGTGTATACACTCTGGGGTAACTTGAAAAAGACAGCCGACATGGAAGTTGGACAAGTGGGTTTTCACAGTAATAAAGAGGTATTTATAATGCAATAGTAGACCCCAAGTAGCATTTGTATGTTTTATTAAGGATAATTTGGTTTCATCAACTGAGCTGATAATATAAAGTGGCCACTGTAAAGAGTTTCAATGCTGTCTTATCTACACAAGTTTTGTTGTGGTATAGTAGTTAGCATACCAGATTCCAAATCAAGAAGAATGTATTTGAGTTGTAACCAAGGCCATTTCATTCAACTTTCCCTCACAATGCCTCTTTCCATAAGAGAGTATAAGTTGAATTTTATAACTTTCCAGAATACCTGATGACTCTTCATTTCCAGTACTGTCATTTTAATTATTTTTATCAAATACTACACATGATCTTACACTGTAAATATACTGTAGGTACAATTCTTTAATATCTTACAACATGAACATTAAACCTAACTCTTCTTTCATATTGCTATATCCAGGTGCGGATCATCAAAGTTGAAAAAAGAGTAAATGAAATAGTGAACAGATTGAATAAGACAAAAGAAGAAAAGTTTCCAAACCTACGAGAGGAAAGGGAGGAGAGAGATAGACTGGAAAGAGAAGATGGCAAACAGAAATTAAGAGAACAAGTAAAACATTATTTCATGATCAACTGATATGTTCAGTGCATTGTCATCTTGATGAACACTGCAGTTTTTTTTCAATTCTGTTCATTCTTGAGATACAAGAGGTGTCTCATAATATTTTGTTATCTTCACAAATTAGAGACAGAGGGAAAAAGAAGAAGAGAAAAGAAGAAAAGAAGAAGCTGCAATGAGGTAATTTTTTTCCTTTAACCACTATGGCCAAGATTTGAAGCTTCTTACATAATTGACTTCAGGTCTGGATAGAGTCATGGACTGCCAGTCATTGTGTTTTGTTGGTGATTAAGACTCCACTTTTTCCAAGCAGGAGTTTAAATAGTTACCATCAAAACTACATGTATCAGGGAGGTGGTGAGTAACCTGTTACAGACTTAGATCTCCTCCTGGACAAGTGACAGTACTACATTGAGTTATGCTTTTGGAAAGAGGGAGTGGGAGACCTTGTGGCTTAATGAAGAGGTGCAGGGTGGGACATTATGTTGTGTTCTTTGGCAAAAAACTTAACTTTCACAGTGTTGCTCTCCACCCAGGAGTCTAAATGGGTATCAGCAAATTTTTAGGGATGAAATACTAGGGGTAACCTTCCAATGAAGTGGCATCTCATCCAGGGGAAGGTAGTATGAGAGTAAAGCAGGTAATTTAATGTTAACAACTGGGTTGAAAACGTAAATTAGCCACCGTAAAGGGTAAAAAAGCTGATGTTTCAAGCGTTAGCCCTTCGTCAGAGCGATTAGGGGTAATCGCTCTGACGAAGGGCTAACGCTCGAAACGTCAGCTTTTTTACCCTTTACAGTGGCTAATTTACGTTTTCAACCCAGTTGTTAACACTAAATTACCTGTTATACTCTCCCACCGACACAGCACCACAGTTTCTTTAGAAACTTACCCCTTTATTAGTATGAGAGTAATACTCCTAGTCACTTCATGTAATGGAAACCAGGACAAGCATTGGCTGTATGGGCCACTTGGTTTGATTACAGAATTTTTCTGGAAACATGGATAAGCAGCTTCAGCAGGCTCTGAGTTTTTTATATTGATCTCACATGTACCATACATGTTTGTTACTGTTCTATACACTTTTAAACATGATCAAGTCTCTCACAATTGACTGTATATTCATTTGTATACTGCATGTGAAATTTTCAATGGCTGTAAACTTGATATTTTGTAGGAGCTATGACTCTTTAATGGACTCAAGAAAGATGAAATCCAATAAGGTCAGTTGGTAATTTTACATTGTTTGATTTAATACACCTCTTCACAGATTGAGGTAAACTGGAGTGCAGATCCAAAGGTCTGAGGTTCAATTCCTCATGGGGACTCAGAATTTTTTCTTTGTCCCACGCTTGTGACAAGACGAAAAAACATCTTTCTTAATTCTTCTCCGAGCTCAAAACTTACCACCTCTACTATTTCTATGGAAATACCATGTTGAACAACACTGCTTTTCATGCAGTCGCACTTCTATGAAATTTATCAGGTATCAGAAGCTATTATAATTGGGGCTTAAGTGAGGAATCTCCAGTAAAACTATTTTTTTAAAGTCCTTTTCAATTCTTTTATCCTATGGGCAAAGAAATGTGTAAATAAAATAAGTTAGCAATTATTTAACCTGAGGTGGTTTTTAAATACACTGCACAGCATACTTGTATATGTTGGAAAGTCGAAGTTCAATTTTAAGAAAGTGCAACAAGAAAACATGATTGTTTACTATACTTTTTAAGGAAAAAAGTGTTCTTTCACTTAAGTGGTGAGCTCCAATTATGAAGGAAAACCTCACATTTTTTAATCGGAGTGTAATAATCATTGATGAAATTATGTGATGTTAGGATGGACAATCCAATACTAATGTTTCACCTGAGCAGAGGTCACATTCTTTTTCATTTCTTTTCTTATTTCCAGGATGCTGAATCAGATGAAGACGATTTTATGTGAAGAAACTGGAATACTTATTTTGTCAGTATTTGACAAGAATATAAAATTCTCCAACAAGATGAATGAGCTGCACCTGCTTCTTTATTAAATTTATACCCTGAAAGGAGAGTTTTTAAAGAGCCCTGAGGAATGTTAAGAACAGTGGTACTCTATAATTAATTTGCAAAGAACACAAGGCCAAGTGGCAGAACAGATCACCAAAAGAGTAAACTGAACTCTACAGAAGACCATAAACATTCCATCATGGTTTAAGAGATCTTCACTAGAATTTGTGTCAGTTCGTGGTAAAATGGAAATAAAAGAAATGATATAAATAATTGTTTGGTTAAGAGGAGAAACCCAGGACTACAGCAAATCATCTGGTCACACCTGCTACAAATGCTGAAGATGATGGAGTGGATTGGAGAGGGGGGGGGGGGGGGGGGGGAAGTGCAAAGAAATTTAGCATGTGGGTAGCTAACTGCTCAATGCTGAGTAATTCATCCGGTAGAAATTCAAAATTTGTTGTTGTTTTTTTTACTTTTTTTTATTATTATCATCTGATCTCTCTATTTTATATCTTTTGTCTTTTTTGGTAATTTGTTTATTGTCTTTGTATGTTTGAGCAGGTTTTTTTAAGGTAGTGTTATTCTAGACCGACTATTGACCATCAGTAAATACCAAATGCTGATTAATTGAGCTTGGAGGTGATAAGCCAAGTTCCATTTACTTCCAAGCAGCAGAAAAGAAGCAAACGGTAAGGTAGTCCTTAAAAATATTCTCTGGAAGATCATGTTGCAGAATTAGCTATTACTTTTGCATTCAAACATCTGGAAATTAGAAAAAAAAATTTGATTGTGGCCCGCTAACTAAAGGTAATCTTTGACAAACCTTGGTATGAACCCTGCATACAAGTTTTGGAAATTGACATGTGGACAAGCCTTAGTGTGAGGCCTGTGGGCAAGCCTTGGGTGTTTTGTGGACATGCCTTAGTCTGTGGCCTGTCGACAAGCCTTTGGGTGACCTGTGGACAGGCCTGATTGAGTTGCTTGGATGAGAGTGGCAAGGTGATGGAAAAATTAAAGTACTCAAGTCATGAACACAAAAGGTAAAATTTCAAAGTTTATTCCAACTGACTGGATGTTTGTAATAAAAAAGAAGTTAACTTAAGAAGGACTTTAAGAGATATCAGTAGGTATGGCACACTTCTAAATAAACAGATGTCAATGAAACTCAATTAATTTTTGTGGGAAATGGGTCAATGAAGACTTTTTTGAGACTGTTAACTTAGACTGTGTGTCCTTAATATAGGATTGTTTTACCAAAAAATGGTGAAAAAAAGAAAACAAGAAAAATTTTTAGGAGCACAAAGTATAGATATCTTATCAATGTGCAATGCAAATGTGATCTGGGTTTGGGTGTATGTTGGGGGAAGGGGGAGTGTAGCTATGTGCAGGCTTGTAACAAGGTATAAAAATCAATAATCCATTGTAGTGGCTAAGTTCCATCCAAATCCCAGAGTTTTTTCCAATTTTGTTTCCTGATCTACTCTATTATTATTATTATTATTATTATTATTATTGTTATTATTATTATTATTATTCTGATCATCTTACAGTAGATAGTTATCATCATTATGAAATATCTTCGTGCCTTTATATCTTTTTTTTTGATGGGAAAGTTGCAAAGTACAGCTTAGTGTTCCTTTGTATTGAAGTAGTGCCGTATAATACCTCTAATTCGAAATTTTGAGGAAAACGAAATGCATTACGGGCAGTTTATGTAAGCAGGTTCTAAATGATTGAAAAATACTCTTCCATGGAAATGTTTTCTAAAAATGAAATTCATCTGAGTTTGATGGAGTATTTGTTCAATTACGTAGCTAGATGTGTTCAACTCTCTGTTGAACTGTACCGAGTTTAAAATCAATCTACAACCAGTCACCCTATATCGTTTAAGAATTTTAACGAAACTTAACGAAAGCTTTCCGATGGTTTTTGCCGAACAACTGATTTGAATCACAATTAATTTTGAAACATTAATATTAATATTTGAGATCAGTCTTGCTCGTGGAAAGCATTTACGAGCTGTAAGAAATGTCAGCGTCTTTTTCAGCTTCTCTGGGGCCAGGAAACACATTATATAGATCAACACAAATACCTTGGATATGGTCCGTTCTCTCAGGGGATGAGAGTTTTTCCCCAAGGTTGTTGAGGCGAGTGGTTTGAATTTGAGGACGAAGAAGGATGAATGAAGTCATTTTCATTTCGTCACGACTTTTCTTAAGGTGAATATCCTATACATATATACATTTTGAAAAGAAATGTAGTGTTCGTTTTTCTTGTTGTTTCTCCAGTAAAATTAATTCTTAGAGTTAATTGTATGAAGGAAGAGCATGTTACGCACAGTCCAGTGTAAGATTAATCTTCAGCAGTAACCGCCATGACAGATCTTGACGAGCCACGTGATTTTTAGGGAAGCAGCGAGAAACGTGTACTTTATTGATAATGCACCGATCGCTAAATGACTCGTTAAGTTTTAATTCTTTAATTATTACTATCCTGTAAACAGTTTCTTTTATCTTAATACTCTAACGTTAAATTCGTTCAACACGCCTGTCATTTCTCACGCTTCCAATCTCCGCTCGAGAAAAGAGAGTCCAGTCGTCTAAAATCGTTAACTTAGAATCCGTTCTCTGGATATCAGATCTTGTGCTGTTGGTGCCGACACTTGACTTTGACAGTGACTCTCTCCTCCCTGGCGTAGAAACTGTTATCAGTGCCCTTTCAGAGAAACCTAACAAAGGACTTGGGGGTGGGGGGGG